TGACAAAGTGTCCCTGAAGGAACTCACAACATAGAATAGGTCGAAGAGTGCCTTGAACTTCAGAGAATTTCGAACCATAGGCCCTGAAAACTCCCACAAAGCCATGACAACCTGTATGCGAAAACCTCAGAGAACATTCTCTACTGATAAGGATGAAAAGATGTAGAAATTGTTTTGATTTTCTTTACAACATTTTGTTTGAAGTGTTTCACTTTTTTTCCAACCTAATGAACAGATTATTTATTCGATTATTTGATTTACTAGTCCACCTCATGAGCAGATCGCTTGTTCGACTAATTAATTGAGTAATCAACCAGGGATGAACAAACAGATAAGTAAATGCGTTTCAATATTCAATATTTACTCAAGACTATTTTCGTTCCGCATTGTCTCGAAGAAGTGCAGTTGTAACGAATGTGACCGCAAATAAAATTAATTCAACTTTTGGAACTGATGGTATTTGCTTTGGTTAGTTCCCATTTCTTCAAAAAAGAGAATCTGAAGCTATATTAGAATCGGAATTATTTCACTAAAGAAAAGTCGCACGAGGAAGTTAGTATTCACAAGGGAGCCAGTGTTGTGTCCTGGGAAAATCTGAAAAAAAAATAAAAGGACAAATGATAAAGTCTTCGGTGTTGATCACCTTTGTAGGGTGCGCCACACATTCTACTTCCACTTGGAACCGTAGTGGCTTACTGGAGGCGATGTAGCCAATACAATAATGGCAAGCCGATGTACAGTGAGCGTTCTTATCCTGACGAATCTGTTACCAATTCACCGTCCCCGGGGGTAGAGAGCTTGGCTATCCCGGGCGGAAGCCAACCCGGGATTTGGGCCCAGGACGGTACGAGTGGTAAGCCCACCACTTGTCACCACACCATCTCCGCTCTGAAAAATATCCAAGAAAAACTGCACACACGCCGTAGCCTTCTCCAAGAAAGCTTCAGCATTTTTGATGTGCGGTGAAGTGCGTACATGGACTTCATTTGAGATGCTTTCACACGCTGAAGAGCGAGCAAACAAAACGCGACCTAATCGACTTCAAACAGACTTGCCCTCAGTTCAGACGAACCCAGCGGAACATCTTGCTCACAACTGAGCAAAAAGACGGCTGTAAACCTTGCGAAGTGACTACAAAAGGAAATGCTTTAACTAAAAACTTCCAAACGGCGGCCCATTCTGTGGATTTCCTACCACTCCGAATTGCTCTGAATATGCCAGGGTCTTCCTTCATATTCCGTCGACTGTCCTGAACTTTAGTGGGTTACCGTTGTTTTCCGAGAATTTTGATAAAATCAAAAGCACATTCCATAGGAACTGCCTTTCAAACTTTCCTGCGCGAAGAACGCTCGACACAGCTCATCCCTCGCTTTGTTTGTATTCCTCGTGGCGACAAGCGGTCACACTGTCCTGAGAATATGCTAGCGGACCACTGGAGAAAACATGACGATCACGAGTACATTCCCGTGCAACGATTTTCACAGTAGGTGAATAGGAAGCTCTATTTCACTGGATGCGGAAGACTTCCGCCAGTGCAAGCCTGCTTTTCGACAGCCGGAGGGATCTCGCGCATTTCCTTCCGTGCACCGGTCCCGTGTGGACAGACTGTCGGCGCCGTTTTCACACACAAAAAATCTTGTCCTGGTCACCTTTGTGCTGTCATCCATTGTAGTCTTCGGCCCACCCCCCTGCCACGCCCATTCAACGATTTCTAATCCTTCCCTTCCTCTTTCGCCACCTCCACATGTATTTGGTGCTAATCGTGGCACTACTGGGCCATGCTTCTGCTAACGCTATCGATATGCTTGACGTTGGTTCTCTTGAGCCAATCGCAGTGAACTACTGCAATGACAGGTTAGAAGACACGCGGTTTGGTGCTCAGGAGACCTCCACCTATAGGATTCTTGAAAGGGTTGCTTAGCTCGATTTCTTCAAGAGAAAACCCAAAAACTCATGTTGCATGCAGTCATTATTCATAAACATTTTAAGCTCGCTGTTGGAAGAAGCTGGACTGATTAGAGCCACGCTGGGTCAGTTTCTCGGATACGAATGTAGTGGGGAGTTCTACCACTGCAGGCGGCAAAGTGACGGCTATCTAACTCATAAGAAACTTTGCAAAACCGGTACGTTAGCTGGATCCTCCAAGCTGCTGTTGACAAGAATGCTTTGCAGGACTTGTCTATGATGTACTGGGAACGCAGAATTGTAACTACGATTATAATGTCAAGAGCTGCGGCCTTGAAAGAAAAGGTTTGTCATTATCTAAGATTTTCTCAACTGATATGTTAAGTTTACTCATTACTGTATTTTTTGTACTTTTTTGAAATTGTATTTTTTTGGCCACCAAAACCAAAATCCCGCACGTTTATTGGTAGGTTAGATCGAAAACTGCTTGTAGGTCCTATTGAATGTAATTCGACCTCGTTCCACTGTACGTTGTCCGAGCAGTGTCTGCCTCTTTCGAAACGATGCGATGGTCATTACGATTGTCAATCGGAGGAAGACGAGCAGAACTGTCGTAAGTCATTTTGATAGATAAGGAAGAGAGGAATCTTCGAAAAGTCATCTAATCGTAAGGAAATAATTGGCTAATATGTTCGGCCTAGGTGGGGGTTAGGTTCATTGCCTATCGCTAGTTTGTA